TTTTATAGGAAATGCAGAAATACAAACATCCTTTTGCAATCATTATTCGATTCTCAGAAATTTTGTACGACAAAGTATTTCAGATTCTATAGCTTCTGATTCAGGGTTTTTTATTTGAATTGTTGGACACAAAGTGGATCGATTTTCTCAGGAACTTCTGGATCTGTTTTCTGAGTGGCCTAAACATGGAAGTGGTTGCTACCATATTTTTTTCAAGTCCCACAGGCCCGATATATAATCTGAATGATGCTGTTTTTTCTCCAAGTAATAGTAACATTCGTCCTCAACAGAATAGTCCATATGAATATAATGCTTACTGCGCCCATATTTATCTGTGTTGTGAATTTATTTGCGTTAACTATGACTTTTTGGTGTGAATTTCAATAGTCTCGTGTAATCAACAAATACAATGAAAGTTGATATTCAATCGCAGAGTATTTCTATTTCATTCATACTTTATGTCACAAGAGGAGATTGTCCATGGTAGTACTTTCTGTCTGATGTTTTGGATACCCTTTGACGTTTTGGCAACTTTGATGAGCTGAATATAATGCTTACTGCGCCCATATTTATCTGTGTTGTGAATTTATTTGCGTTAACTATGACTTTTTGGTGTGAATTTCAATAGTCTCGTGTAATCAACAAATACAATGAAAGTTGATATTCAATTGCAGAGTATTTCTATTTCATTTATACTTTATGTCACAAGAGGAGATTGTCCATGGTAGTACTTTCTGTCTGATGTTTTGGATACCCTTTGACGTTTAGGCAACTTTGATGAGCTGAATTCCCATCCTGTACATTCGTCTTGTGTATTGTATTTATTTTGTACCATGGCTGAGTTCAAAATAAATTTTCATTCACAATATCAATGATGTCATGAAAGGGTTATCATATCAAACAAAATTTAGGATATTTAGAATAAATATTGAAGGCCGAAATAAATAATGTAGCTCAATTCTTCAAGCCTTACTCAGTGTCCAATAAACTACAATTAATATTGCAGCTATATGTTATCAATATCATTATCAGGTAAGACCGTCTTTGTTAGGAAATAGAGATAAAAATGCTTTCTCTCTTTATGCCATATTTCATTCCTCAAGAAACTTCTTAGTTATAACTACGGTAAATGCTAGATTGGAAAATGTAAAATATATTTTCATTGGATGAGAGAGCCAGCAGATTTTGTAATCTGAAAATAAATTCATCATATTCCAAATTGTTATGAGATCATATTCTATCTTACAGTAATAATTTCCTATTTTTTATACAGTAAGTTCATTGTGCCTTTGTGAAACCTTATTAATTTAGGGATATTTCAAATTCTTTTTGCTTGGATTGTTCCTTTTACATGTTTACATTCCAATGCGCATACTTCTAGGTATCTTAGCTATTTTATTTCGAAAGGTGGCTGTTGGCGGTACACTATGACATAATATTTCAATAACCTAAAATTTGATATCTTGTTATCGCCCCACCACTGATTTTCTGATCCTTTGTCTATCTGGTTAGGTTTTTGCTAGGAAAAGGTCAGGTAACAACCCAGCTCATCCGAATTAAGCAATAAAGAAAATATACTAAGCCAGGGGTCCGCAACTACTTTTTGGTGCAACCTAAAATTTTCCTGCGACCCAAGCATTTTGTACGCATGTAATTAGTTATTAATTTTAAGACTTTTATTGACACTAGCAGTTTTCTTGCACAAAACGATATGAAACTTAGCACATAAAAACTCATTAACTATTATATCAAGCAATCTGTTAACCTCGCATTGCTATGAAACACCACAATGGACTATGTAGTACGATAATAATGAATGCAAACAATTACACAACGAACGTTTCTCCGACTTTCGATCCCCGAAAATTTTTATTTCTATACCCTACCTGTGCAAAATTGTTGGTACCTCAAGAACGGTTTCATGAATTGACGCCTATAAAACGGTTTATATTTTTCAACCATCATTTTAATCTGTCTGAGGGTCACAAAAGTGTCTGAGCGGCTGTTAAAACGTTTGTTGTTACGTCAATTTATGCATTTGTGCTGATTGGCCAATGTTACGGCAGTAAATAGGGAAGTCAATGCTCGGGGAAACACCTATAATTATAATTAGAGGTTTATAAAGTTATAGTACACAAATACGCTACGCAGAACGATGCTTATATTTATGGCAAATTTTAAATTGTTTTGCAACCCAGAATGGAGGGTTTCATTGGGTCACGACCAGTGGTGGGATTCAGCCGGTTCGCACCGGTTCTATAGAACCGTCTCACAGAATTTTATCAGATCAGCGAACCGGTCAGCATTACTGGTTACTGTCAATGTTCTGTTTGCAACAGAACCAGCTGAAAAATATGACTTTTGTGAAGGACCCGCCTGACAAAAAATTTGAATCCCATCACTGGTCACGACCCTGTATTTGCCCTAACCCAGCAGTTTCCAAAGAGTGTGCCAATTTGCAGTATGCCTCGAAATTAACAGAATTGTGTTGAACTTATTAATATATGGTTGAATATTTTACATATTGTATTTATTATAAATGTTTCTTATTTTAAATTCTGTGTGTATGAATCAATGAATTCATTTTACTTCTCTACTTGTCCTTTACTTTCTGTTACGAAATGTCTGCCTCTATCGTTATGTAACAATAGTGGTAGATGGTATCTGCTGCAGTTTCTTCAACTCTCATTGACCTTTTGCCTTAATTCCTTAGGCCTACATGTTTTTAAACTTTCAAAGGCATGAAATGCTCATTATCGATCAAAAAATTGAATTTTATTCAAAGTAAAAGCTCAGTGAGATATTTTGCCTGATGATTTGGCGCAAAAAGTTTGGTCACCTGTGCCGGAACCAGCGATAATCAGAGGGGGGCACTTCATCATAACCACAGAACATTTTAAAAAAATATTTCGCATTGAAAAATGTAACTATATTTTTGGTATATTTACCAACAACTGATAAAAACAAAAATTCAGAACTAAGAATACTTACACGTGTATGAACTATTGCCAATTTCTGTGATATATTGAGTCATCACTAAATTGTATGCCATATTATTTATTTGTTATATTTTGTCAATCATGCCCATCAGTCTTGCAGTCTAGTCTGCTTTATATCAAACTCCAGCACGTTTTGAAAAATTATTAGGCCAGAATGAATCATTCACTATTGGGGTAATGGCAGTGATGTGTTTGATGCATATTTATTTCAGGAGTCGCTCAAGTTTAAATTGTATCGAAGGATTTGAGATTGGATTTTATAGACTGTGACATTGTGTGAGGGATTGCTAAATTTTCCACTTTATTTGCATTACGGTTTCTTCCTCTATCAAAGTTTCAAGCGATTAGTAGGTTAAATAGTCTTGCGCTGTTAACCATTCGCCAGTCTATAATTCACAATAATGATTCTGCCATCTTTTCAGTTTTCCTCTCTCAAATAAATAAATATAAAAATCGCTATTGCAATAATCTGATCTCCGAAATCATGATTTCACCATTTTTGTGCTTGTAAATTGAAAATATACAAAAAGTTTCTATAGTGACACCTAGTGGTGACTCTTAATTATTTGTGTTATATTTGCATTTTTGGACCTAAAACAGATACTGGCTGAAGCTGACAAAACCTGGATGAAAATATGTGTCTCCCGAGTCCCACTAACTTTGGCCACTAGGGGGATAAAACACTTCTCAGTAATTAATCTAATCCCAGCAAGCCATTTCATAATTGCTTTTTTAAATTCCCTTTATGGTAAAAATTATGTTGAGCAGAAAAAGTTCTCGGAAATTGATCAGAGTACGATTTTTTTTTTTCAGTTATCACTTTTCTTCCAGAATATGCACTTTGGTCTTTTTCACTACCCTCTGTTGAACTTATTTTGCATTTGCTTGAAAACATAGTTTTCAGATTTCTTTCGGTCTCATCTGAAGAGCAAGTAAACAGTCCCTAGTTTTTGTGGAGATATCTTCATAGATACTATAAGATGGAATTGGTTTCCATATTTATCCCGGAGGAGAAGAAAAGGGAGACTTAAGCATTAAATTATGTGGCAAGCCATTTTTCTACTTTAATCAAAACTTTTTTGTCACCTGCGTATATTTACAGTATAAGTATAAACAGTGCCCAGCCCTTGATTACATATTTTCAGTATCAATATTTTGGGGTTGTCAGAACTCCTTCAACGGTAGCGCACACAGTGTTTCAGGCCGATTTTAATTTCACTCATTCCATTATTTAAATATTAACTATGAAACATTGCAGTAGTTGCGGCAAATGCACACTAAAACTGCTGACTGTATATTATTGTGGGTAATGATCGCTGGGATAGAGTAATAATAATAGTAGGTCTTTGGCACTTGAATACACTAAGTGACCATGTTCATTCCTGAATGAGGAGAATTTTGCATATTGTTAAATCATTAAAATGTTTTGTGATTATTAAGTTACGATTGTACAATTTTCATTTTTTTCAATGACAAAAGAAGTTTTTTATTATTCTCAATTTTATTCTGACCATTCGTGACATTTTTTGTCCACCGGAGGTGCTCATGTTTGTAATATCCGCAGTTAACCGGTAGTTGAAATTTTTCTGTCAATATCCAACTTCAAAACTTTATACTCAATTTTACTCTGACCATTCATAACACATTTTGTCCACCGTAAGTGCTCATGTCTTCAATATCCTCGGTTAGTTGGAATTTGTTTGTCAATATCTAACTGTAAACACTATTCCTCATTGCTTTATTTTTTTGGCATGTCCTCAATTTAAATATACATGTAATTTGTATAAATAATGTATATACTCTCTGTTCATGTTTTTCTTCCACGCCATATTTGGAACAACTTTGTAAAACAGACAAACTTTAATAACAAATATACAATGATTTTTTTTATCCTAACCGGCACAAATATAATATAGTTGAGTATTACAAAAAAATTGTTGAATAGTTAGTATGATTATATAACTACTTAAACTTCTAGATTGTTATACTATTTTTATTCAGGCAGACTACTGGCAGATTCTGTCGCAACTCCAGGACGCAAAAAAAATTTGATTCAGTACTAATATAAACATGCTTCATGATTGGACTAAATAATGATGTGTGCAATTTATTATATTTATTCCATAAGAAATTAAGCTTTTTTAATTTTACACTCTTTATAAACAGTTTATCATTATTTTATAAGTAATGTAGTTAGTATTTCTTATTATTGTGATTTTATTTCAGCATCTGAATATAAGTAGCACAATGTATGTTTTTCTTTCCAACATTATTCAAGATAATGCTCGATTTTCTGTAATTTTATGGAAAAGAAAACTGAATCATCTGAATTATCAAATTCGAATTTCACATAGAAGAAATTTGGCCCGAACCAACCACCTGCTGCTGTGAATATTTGCGTGCATAACCTATTTCATAAATTTCAACACAATATCATCTAGGCCCACTGATACTTTTACTTAGATAATATTTACACCAAATTACGATTCCATATATTTCCAATTTCCACACAATGTCTTTTATACATTTTGCATTATGTGCACTTATATTGTTGTCAGTGGATTAACCAATTTTTGGGAACTCAATAATGTATATTATTCTGAAGAGAACTATAAAATTACACTGAAATTATTGAATACAATTGGACAGTACACCAGTACTAAAATAGGTTCAGAATTATACATTTCCCACTTGTACCATTGGGATGTTACCTGTAATGCAAAAAACATAGCTATGTTGCTGTTCGTATATTGTGCCTGTTTACAAAGTTGACACAATATTTGTATTGAAAATGAATTTGCGATCATTCCTGCTTCTCAGTGAACTTTTAAACCTGGTTTATATGCAGAGTCAACATTTGGCCCTGATTTGGATTTTTGTTCGAAAGAACTGGATCAAAGACATTCGTAACTGCAATTTTCAGTATCCTCCTTCATCAGTGTAAATAAATTTCCAAGCGCAATTGTTTCAGTCAGATTTTAATTCCTCCCATTTCATTATTTAAATAAAAACCATAAAACATTGCAATAGTTGTGGCAAATACACACTAAAACTGCTGACTGTATTTGAATGTAGGTATTGATCTTTGGGATACGGTAATAATAATAGTGGGTAATAATCTTCGGCACTTGAATACACAAACAGACCATGTTCATTTCAAAATGGAGAATATCTTGCATTGATTGCGTTGATCTTGCATAATGCTAAATCATAAAGATGTATTGTGTTTTTTTTTCAAATTACGATTGTACTATTTTTATTTTATTTTTTCAATGACAGAAGAAGTTTTTTTTATACTCAATTTTACCTTGACCATTCTTCTCACTTTTTGTCCACTGGAAGTGCTCATGTTATTAAAATCCGCAGTTCAGTCGAAAATTTTTGTCAATATATAATTGAAGACTTTATACTCAATTTTGCTCTGACCATTCTTAATAACATTCTTTGCCCAACGGAGATGCTCATGCTTTCAATATCCTCAGTTCAGTGGAAATTTTTCTGTTAATATCTACCTTTGAATGATATTCCTCATTACTTTAATTTTTTAGGCATGTCCGCAATTTATATATGTAATTTGAATAAATAATGAATATACTCTCTGAACTTCTAGGTTGTTATACTATTTTCATTCATGCAGACTACCGGCAGGTTCTTTCGCTACTCTAGGACTCGAAGAAAATTTTATTCAGTACTAATATAAACATGCTTCATGATTGGACTAAATAATTATGTGTGCGATTTATTTTATATGAAATTAAGCTATTTTTATTTTACAGTCGGTATAATATCATTATTTTATATGTAGTTAGTATTTCTTATTATGTAATTTTGTACCACAATACATAATTTTCTGTTGTTTTATGGAAAAGAAAACTGAAGCATCTGAATTATCAAATCCTACTTTCGCATAGAAGAAATTTGGTCCAAACCAACCACTTGCATTGCCGCTGTGAATATGTGCATGCATATCCTATTTCATACATTTCAACACGTGATCATTTGAGCCTACTGATACTTTTACTTAGATGATATTTACACCCAAAATCATTACGATTCCATATATTTCCAGTTTCCACTCAATGACTTTTATGCATTTTTCATTAAATACATGTATATCATTGTCGAAGTGGATTAACTGATTTTAGGAACCTATAATGTATATTATTCTGAAGAGAACATTAAAATTACACTGAAATTATTGAGCACAATTGGACAGTACTCCAGTACATTCCTCCAGTACATTCCTCACTTGTTATACCTTTGAGATGAGATGTTATCGCAAGAAACATGGTTATGTTGCTCCTTATAGCCTACTGTGTTTGTTGACCAGCATTCACAAATGGGACGCAATATTTCTTTTGAAAATGAATTTGATATCAAACCTGCTTTTCAGTGAACTTTTAAAACTAGTTTATATGCAACGTCAACATTTGACCCTGATTTGGATCTTTGTTAGAAAGAACCTGATCGAAGGCATTTGTAACTGCAATGGATTATATTCAAAATGTAAGTAAATTATTTTTTAACTGTAAAAACTGATAAGATCTATTTAATTATGCCGGCCAACTTAAAATGAAGTTGAGTCTATTTTTACTGTTAAATCTACTCCAATCGTATTCTTTAAAGTCAAATTTCACGCCTACGGTAACTTCATTTATATTACTGTTGATTTTTTGTTTGTTTCATTTTTTTTAAAAAGGTGTTAAAAAAGTTCAATTTAGAGTTGACTCGCACATAAGTCGCACTGAAAATCTATGGATTTAAAGGCCCTTACCCTAGCTTCTTTGCACAGATAACTTTCTATTTTTTTATTTTTTTTTTTTGTAGGGCTTAATACAGTGGTTCTTTACATTTTACTGGCCGCACACCACTTTACTGATTTTTACTCTGTCCGCGTACCACCGAAAAAAATTTTTTTTTGCCGTGGGGAACAATGGCACAAGTCACGTTCTATGGGAGCCTTTTATAATGTGGCACTACATCTTTTGTACCCTAATTCGCGAGACGGACAAAAACAAGCCCGATTCATTCGTGGACAATAGTAGGCGAGGGCGATCTTTAAAGGCTGGGCTGGTCCATAGAAAGTTTCTCCGACCCTTGACCCCCAGACAAATTTTTCCTATACTTAACTATTGCCAATAATTTTATACTTATTTTGAGAATGTTTTGATGTCTTGGCGCTTATAAGCTTATTTAGGTGTTTGAAACCTTCACTTTCATTAAAATTAATCAATCATGTGACGCTTACAGGCACTGATAGCTTAGTTTAGACTAGTCTATCGCAGCATTTGCGAGACTCATTTTTGATTACAGCAACTAAATTAATGCTCCTTTGAAGACATAATGACAATCAAGATATTTATTTCACAACTATTTTTTCGAAACACAACTGAAAACTGACAAATAACCCGCAAAACTACAAAAACGAGGCAATGTTTACTTTACAACTATACTTGAATATCTGCCTGAGGGACAGAAGTGTCTGAGCGGCCGCAGAAATTGCAATTGTTACATCATTGTTGACTTTTTATTGATTGGTTATGGTTATGGAAATAAACAAGGAAATTGATGCCCAAGAAAAGATGCATAAAGGCCTTACAGCGAATACATACAGTATGGAAGCGTTGTCGGCATATTTAAGCCAACTCAAAAGTTTAATTGTTGCAATAATTCAAAACTGCTCGCGTACCACCTGAACATGTTCCGCGTACACTAGTGGTACGCGTACCACAGGTTGAGAACCACTGGCTTAATATGATCAAAATATGTTTATTGACACCTCTGAGCGATAATAATTGCATGTACGCAAGCGCAGACCATAGGATTTCATGAATAACCAACTTGCTACCTGTATATCATTACCAGTACATTCAGACCCCTAACCCTGTTTGAGAAATGACAAAAACATATACACACATAAATTTGTTAAAAAATTTTATTTGAAAACTTTGTTCCAACTTGGTGGCGATTTGCACTTATGTCAAGCAGATTGGTCGCACCTATATATTTTTTTTAAATATAAGGAGGCAAGTATGTACGGTATAAGTTGTTTATATATTTATATTTTATAAATTTGAAACAGCTTAACACCAATGATTCAAAGTTTATTATATTTAAATAAAGTAAGGCAATCATGTATTCAGCACAACCGCCATACTGTGCACAATTTTTAATGATGTCATCTCACTATTTGCACACAAAAAAATCGATCCCATACAGCCCACAGAAATTTGTTTAAACATACAGTAACTGATACAAATTTTTTCATATTTTCATCTTAGTGATGTTTAATCTTATTATGTACATATTTAAATAATTATTGTTGTTTGGGTACACATGTTTTCGGCACTGGAACAATGGGCAGTCGAAGACCGATCCTGAACGAAATATGTTCAACTACCAAGATATCACTGTAGAATAATTATCAAAGTATCTTCAATTTTTATAATGTGTAATAAGAGTTTGTATGCATAACTGATTCTATTATTTTATTATATATCTTTTTGTTATAATTCATGTAAGTTTACAAGCCTTTACTCAGATGAGGTGTAACAGATTCAGTGCATGTAGAACTGGATCTGCAACCAGCATCTAATAGCTTGACAAAGAAGGAAAATCTGATCAAAGATCAGTGTCCAAACATCATTTCGTAAAACAAACACTGGTTCTTGTGTAGTTTCGTACCTTACGTACTTCTAGTGGGCATAGAATAAAGATTTTTGCACATGTCATAACCCCCATCTGACTACGCCATCCAAAAATTATGTCACGATGACAACACAATCAGGTCATAGAGCTTGCCAAAGTATAACTATGATCGCATCTGCGCTGACGATAATCCTATTACCTATCCTATTTCCTTCCTATTTTGATTATCATTCAGAGGATTTTATTCTATCTCATTCACATACTATACATCCCTAATAATTAAAAATTATACATCCCTAAGAATTAAAAATCAGCTTTTTGTTTATATAACCGATGTCTTCAAATTGCCATTTTATTTCAATAGTAAGAGTAAAAATCTGATCCAGTAGAGCGTCACATCATTACATTTCTAGTTTTAATCTAGCTTTTCTCATATTAATTACATTTCTAGTTTTGGGAAGTATCATCAGAACAAATATGTTTATTCAAGGCTGAAATGCCCATTTTTAATATTCATAGAGCACGTGTAGCATAAAGTTATAGCTGGGATAGCTTATATGCACTGCAGTAGCTTTTCAATTCATGTGTTGCCAATGAATGCATTACCAGTTCTGGACCCATCATGGACTGGTAACCGAACGGAAGGCCATGGTTCGCCATATGATTATTTTGTCCTTCCGGCTTTCCTCTCCCCCGGGATAAATATGTAAATCCTATCCTTTTGAGTCACTGGTTTTAATTTCATTCATCATCAATTTATCTAGTTGATCAGGGTGGTGGAAAGGTTCAAAAAATATTCTTTGGCTTTTAGTCACTTAACCACATCAAATTAGGACTCCATCACTTACCCAAAACCGAAAAAATATGACTAACTCGTTACATAATTTACATCGAGAAAGATATTTAGCTAGGTAATCTGAAGTCCCACATTTGATTCTTGATTTGTGTTTGAACCTTTTTTCATGGCGAATACCATCCAATATTCAGGTATCGCATATTACTCGATTTTCTCTTGAAGTATAGGCTTGAATCTAATAAATACCAGTACGGTACTCTATAATTATCATGAGGGTAATGCAAGTTGTTATGACATGATTAAAGAAAACTTGAAATGAATTAATGCGACCATTAGAACTGCATGAATACTTATCAACAGTACTCTAATTTCAAGCTCTGCTGAATGTATTCTTCAATTTAGTGCAATAGCGTAGAATACCCTTATACACCAATTTTTTTCAGAATATAACATAATATATTCTCATATATAAGCCGAGTTTAAAACTAAAAAAAAAGTTGCTAAACTAAGGGATCGATTATACGTTCGTAACTCCGATTGCACTAAAAATTTGGATTATACACGCATAGGTCTGATCTCACTACAGGGTCGGCTTAATTCAGAGATGTCAAATTCAAATTTCGCAACCTTCAAATATCGTTTTTAGTGTTATGATAATATCAAATACCGCGCACACATCCTAGCGCCGCTGTTCATCTTTTGATTGAAAACATTTTACAGTACAATTATTTTAGTTTGTGTTTTATCAAGATCGTGCATCATGGCAATAAATTACAGTCGACATGAAAGAATTTTAGCGCCGACTAGAATTTCTATGACACGTCGAGGATGTTTTCGATTGAAAATATTTTACAAATATTATCACATATTTCGAGATAGTCTGAGCGGCCACGGCAAAAAATCTATGAGCAAATTGTGTCATAATTAATTCTCAGTTTTGATAGTGACCGAGTATGAGAGGAAACTTTTTGCAATTTACAGAGTATAAAATAGCTCTTAAATAATATTCGGTGCTCCCGAAGTATGCGAACCAAGATGGCGGACATCGGAACGTAACATGGGTAACAGATTAGGGTTAGGCGATAATTTTTTTCTAATTTTCCTTATTTTAGTCCTATTATCAGTTCGAAGACTAGCCAAGAGCCTCCCGTAGTATTTATACCTAAAATTATGGCCTAACCCTACTCTAGTACACATATTATATTCCGATGTCCGCCATCTTGGTTCGCATACTTCGGGAGCCCCTAATATTCAGTGTCGCGGATTTTATCGTAATCCCGGTGTCGTTAATGACAATATCGTTCAGTTTGAGTTGGCGGTATTAATTTATGAGCAAAAATAAAATGCTGACTTGAAAAATAAAACACAATTTTCGGTCTTGATACTCTGTAATTGGGGGCTGGGAATCGGGTTTACTCATTTGAATATGACGATGATCACGTTATAACATATGCATTATTTTGAACACTTAATACCCGTGCACTGGTGCTGATGATAAACAATCAGAACTTATAATAAAAATTAGCCGTGTCAAAAGGATGTTTGCTGTTAATAAGTGTTACGATTTGTTAGGGTCGGCTTATATGCGAATTTTTCGAAGTTCCCTGTTTTAGGTCCTTCCTTAGGGGTGGCTTATATGTGATGTCGGCTTATATGTGAGGATGTATGGTGATAAACCATTTTTTTTATGTCTAAATGAACAAACAATTTGGCAGAACTAGTTGGCGAACATTCTTGTATTCATTTCCTTATAAGCGCGAGTTATTTGGGCAAATGTTTCTGATCTTCAAAGATTCAGTTATATTCATCAGTTAAATCTATCCATAAAGAGAATTTTGAATTTCCTAATTCATATAATTACTGTATTGAAAAACCATTTACATGTGACTTATATAGGTCTTCACTCCTCATTGCCCAGTTCAATTTTTTTTGTTTACGGTAGTTTAATTTCGTCAATAATGATAATGTTTCATATTTTGATTTTTTGATTCCTTGTTTACTTAGTATCTCTATCTATGAAATATTTTTCAACATTTTTGACATCTCAGTTTTTTGGTTTTAATTTTCATTCTGAATTTACTCATTTCCCAACAAGCAAAATATCTTCGCCTATTCATTACTTATCGATCTTAAGATCGGTATGTATGTTGATAGGTATTTGTCTGTTTGTGTGTTTGTCTGTTAGACAATTTCGTATGTTACGTGATATCTCAAGAAAGCGAAGTTGAATCTCTTCCAAATTTTGCATGTGCATTCATCATATCTCGGACCAGAAGCCTATTGATTTTGGATGAATTAATTAGTGATGGGACACTTGGTGGCGCTGTGGAGTAAAAGCGGATGAATCGAAATCACACTTTCTGTTTTGGGAGATCCCCTAACTTTCGATCGATAAGTCTTCGGTCTCTGACCGATATTTTCGTTCTATGCATTACTAAGACCACTACCATACAGGATTTGTGACCAAACTCAACAACATTTTTCTAGGATTTGGATTTGATAAGAATGAATAGCCCTGAAGATGTTGACAGCAAGGAAAGTAAGAAAATGAAAAAGACTAAAATGGAAAAGATACACAAAAAGAAGTTGTCAAAAGATGGAGGTAAGTTTTAATAAAAAAATAACTTTCTGTGCAAAGATGCATGTTTTGAAACAGTACACAACGAATAGTAAGCTGCAAATTGCCTTTGTAGCTGTCAGGGTTGACCATAATTTCAAGAAACCTTTTTAATCAAACATGATTCTTTCTGACATACAAATACTTATATCATCATATATATCAGGGCTTCCCAAACTCGAAGGGGCCGCGAAACGAACTTTAGGGGCCGCAAAGAGAACACCAAATTTACACAATTAAGACTCTTGATTTAAAATACAATTATTAAAAATAGTGTAAAACAAAATTTCACGATTACGAGTGAATACATATACATCATCATACCGTGTTTCCCCGAAAATAAGACGGCGTCTTCGGTTTTCTTTCAAAAATAACACTATGGCTTATTTGTGGGGGATGTAGAGAATAACGAGATTTTTTATTATGCCAAATATGAATACCGATTTCCATTTACTTATAAATAGCACGTTTTCATTTAAAAAAAACTGCTACATAAAGATTATTAACCATTTAAAAAGTAGCAAAGATTTATTGCTATGGACTAAGACTCGGTGGTTCTCGAACTTCATTGCATTTTGACGCCCTCTAAAAATATGCTCAAGTTGCGGCTCCCCGTGAAAATACGTATTCATACCTTTCAATAAAAGCCCTTTTTTGCAATGAGTTTAATATAAACGAACAAACAAAACTCACCGACAGTCAGTGAAATCACATTTAATGGGCCCTGGTAGAAAAGCCTGCTTTATAAAAATACTAAATCGCGAAGGGGATGGGAGTGCGCAACGCTTTTTGAACCAAGGAAAAATAATCTTTATTTATACAGAAACCCGAAATTTCAGAATTAAGCTTTATAGTCTTTATTAAAACTTTATTAACTTTAAACTTCATTATTTAATCTTACTTTTTTCAGTAAAAGTAGAAGATATGGGTTGTTTGAAAGGTTCAGGAATCACAAAATTTTGCGACGCCTAGAGTAGACAAATTGAAACCACGGGACTAGGACAAAAAAAAATTGCGCTATCGCCTACCCGAAAATTAGGATATTTGTGTTAAATATTAACTAATGTATGATTGCATATTTCACATATTTTATTTATTCTGAATGTATTATTTTTTCTTATTATTGCAAATGATGTGTTTATGATTCAAATTCATTTTACCATTCTATGTTGTTCACTTTCTGTTACGTACGGTCTATTGTTGCGTAACAGAAGAGCTGCTATTTCGTAGGCTGCAGTTTATTCATTTGCTGAACCGAGATTATCGAACATGAGTGATTTTTTAGCATTTTGAAGAAAACCAGGCAGGGATAAGAAATAAAAGTTAACTATTTGCCTTTATTCATTAGGCCTACATGTTTATAAACCTCAAAAAGGCATAAAGTACACATTAACGATAACAGAATTGTGTTTTTATTTTGAGGCAGCGTATTTTTCGTGTAGGTGCGCCGCGAGTTTTGTCCCTGATAATTTGGCGTCGCACAAACCGCTGCCTTATGCTAAATTTGATCAATAAGAGTGCGTAACAATTCTGGATTAGAACCATGCCGTCGGTGGCCTGTGGCCAGACATCGTAATTCATCATTTAGGCCTGCATAAACAAACATTGAGCCACGGCTGGACTTGCTATGCAGCAGAAAGCATTCGCACAATTACAATGAATAATTGAGTAATGTTAATCTGAGTAAATATGCGCTTGTTTTTGTTATTGAGTAGGCCTACTAAAAGTTGAGAATTAGCTGTGTCAATAAAATATTAAAAAATGCATATTACTGTTTAGCATTATTAACGTAAACAAGGGCCGCGAAAAAGTTTAATATATTAAAAGGGGCCGCGAGCACAAAGGTTTGGGAAGCCCTGATATATATGATCATGTTCCCCAAAATCCGCCGAGTAAATATCTGAGAACAATAGTTATCTAAGTTCAACATAGGCATGTAACAGAATATAAAATTTTTTTACAGAAGACCCTAGCCAAAAAGTTGGGAAGATTGAAAAAGATAAAATAAAGAATAGAGCAAAAACTTTGTCACCAAAGAAGTTGAAGAAAGATGTAGAAAAACTGAAAGAAAAGGCACAAGGTCGTAAAAGTATAGGTGGACCAAAACCTGGATCTTTAGGAAAGATTAAACTTCCTGCCAGGAAAAAACAAATAACTGTTCCAGTTGCTGCATCAAAAGTAACAAGCAAGGCAGCTGATAACATTGAAGTTGAAGAAAATCCACTTCTTCCAACAATCATGAAACCAAAAGCTGTTCAGAAAATTGTAAGTTATTTTGTTGTTGAATGGGATAATTATGTGCAAAGGATTGCTGGACCTTTCACCTTTGTGGGGTAGTTAACATAAACCCCTGTTAAGTTATGGCTTTCTCCACCAACAAGTCCATGCATCTGAAATAAATAGCTGATTAACTGTTCTCATACCTGACATTGGCTAGAAACTGGATGAGAGCTATGGTTGACCATATGATTGGGCTTTTCTCTTCTCTGTGATCTTAATGGAGAATCTATTCCTAAATTCCTTTCCTCTTATGCTTTTTACTTTTTGATATTGCAGCAGCATCTTTAATTTATGCCAGTATTTTTTTAATAATTAATTTCTTTTCGTTCTTTTCCAGGCGTCTCCAGCAGTATCCACCAAGAGTAGAAAAAGCATTGATCCAGATGCTATACCAATCAAAGCCATTCAATTTGAAGAAGGTGCAAAAATTGAAGCAGTTGATAATGGTCAATGGTACAAAGCTAAAATAGTCAAAGTATGATAACTTTAGCTGTTTTACTTGTTTAATAATTTGAGGAAATGAGTGAAAATAATTACGGAATAACTACATAATAATAACATCAAATGACCATTTTATCATTCTTTTATTATGTCTAAAGTCTAAGATATAAATTTTGGCTTGATTTTTAACTATTTGGACATAATTTTTATACGTTGTGAAAAAAACTTTGACTTTCAGGTGGATAATGATAAGATGGATATTCTCGTTCATTTTGATGGATGGGGAGCAAAGTTTGATACCTGGTTTCCAATGACAAGTAATTTGATTCGAGGCCGTACTCAGCTGGATATGAAAGTTGTTATGGAGGTGAGAAGTCTAAGATAAAAAATTTTGAGCATCACTTCTTATTATTTTATTTATAATACGGCTGCTAATGTAAATTGTTGTTGTGTGTTTGGTTGTGTATTAGTGTGTCATATTCACTTTCATTTCATATTTGTAATGTAATGAACCACATGAAAGTCTTGTGTATTTATCTGGTATAAAAATTTGTTAATCTTTGTTAAATTGCTGCCTCGCAGTCAGGTAACCAATTTTAGAAAAAGTGTACCTAAATATGAGATGGAGTAGAATAACTCACTTAAAAAGAAGCAATAATGTATTTTCTAAATTTTCGTTTCAGAAATATGACCCCGGTGAAGATGTTCTTGCAAGATGGACTGACGGCAACTTTTATCCTGCGACAGTATTGACTGTGAAAGATTCAGGATCTTGTCAGGTTATGTATTTTGATGGAATGAAAAAATTACTGAGACCAAATATGATGAAGAAGATGTCTGAGAAAGAAAAGGTAAGTTTGCTTGTCATACATAACTGCCAGATCTTCTGAATGTAAACATAAGACAGGAAACAGTGAAGATGAACTGACCTATATTGTTTACAGGAAGTTGTTCAGATGAATTTTTGTGTTTCAGTAGTTCATTATAACTGCTGTCCCATGGCTTTAACTGTCTATTCTTATGCATGGCCTAAACTGCATAGTTACAGAGTCATTGAATAGGGTCTTTGTCTTGTTTACACAATTAACATTTCTAATGTACTGACATTACTCGAGAATTTCGATTTTTATTATCATCATGTTTTGTGCTTACTGATTTGATACAAAAAACCATCTCCTAAATTTTAAGTTCATCATATTGCTGGACACAATTAAAGCTTAAATCTGCTTGTTGTCTATTTAAAAGACAATAGTTAGCCAAACGTTATTCTTGTTACACATAATCAAATAATATAATTTATCGTATTGGTAATCTGACTCTATATTTTAATATAAGTTATATGAAAATCTTATCATAAATGGGAAACACCCTGTGGTTTGAGATGATACTCTTAGGTAAAGCTGCATACGATTGCCACTTCCTATAATTTCACCATTGTTAATTTTATTGAAATGAGATGAATACAAATCGTGAATATTTACTTATGTGTGGAAGAAGAGTGACAGATGATATATGCTGTATATGTCTGATATTTTTTAGATTATAATCTTTTTGTATATTTTAAGGCTACAGCAATGAAGGCTATTGAACAATTACTACTACTGCCACCAAGTGTTATTGATAGTCCTCTTTCATCAGCTGCTGGATCTCCAAGTTCAGATGGCACTTCTCGAAGGTATGCGAAATCCAATCTTATGGTCGTCGGAAAAATAAGAGTAGCACAGAAATACCCATGCAATCATACCAAACTTGTTCCATATGAGTAAGTGGGGATGATGGTGTGCAAAAGGATTGCTGAATTTTGTGTTCATGCACCTGTTGCATTGTTGCCTATTGTAATACCTGAACTGAATATGAAAAATTTATTTCCCTTGATGTATAGTGTCAAATTTTATTTTGACTGCCACAAGGTCATTCATTATTTCGATTAATTTTTACTACCGTAATTTGGATCTGGTACAAAACGAAAGCAATCTATGTTGACTTATATTTTCTGTACCTCTATTAGGTTATTAACTTATTTCTCAATGATCTTCATCAGCCTTGAAGACTGACTTACATAAAGCAATATTATCCGAGCTGTGAATTTACCCTTTAGTAATAGTATTACTGCTAATGTTGTTTGTAAAAGAAAATCTTCTGCCTCTCTATAAATATAGGTATAAAACATCAGCAAATGACAGAGAAAGACGAATTGCGGCAAGAGGTGGAAAATCTACACCTCGATCCACAACTCGAACACCTGATTCGGGTATGTTATCTCTTCATAGCGTATGTGGCGTTTCTCATTTTGCGTTTTTCTATATTGATTATTGGTTATTTAACAAGCTAAGTGTAGCAGTTATTATAAGTTCAAGTGGTATTAAGTGGCACTGACAATCTACAAATTGAAAAGTGAATTTTTTTTTTCACTCAGAACTCTCACAATCAACCAAACCAAAAAAAGCAACAAAAAGACGAGCTTCACAAATGCTTCCAACTAAACCAGGTACTAATTATAGTTTATTGTGAATCCTATCTTATCCAAGTGCATCATAAGATCTGAAGTCTTGACTAAATGCAAAAACATCACTAATAGAAGATTTTAAGCAGCTATGCAAGGGCTGTATATAGATCTATTGTTGTAATTTATATAACATTGTTGCGACAGAGGAACAGTTGGTATTAATAAGAGAATGTCAGTTATGCTGTTTATTAAAGATGTTCTACTGACATAATATCAACATAATGTAATATCGTTTCAATCCCTTCTTTTCTTTATATTGCATACATGAATTATACCAACAAATTAATGTAATATACTATTTGTTTTTTAAATTTTGGTCAATTTTTTTTTCAAATTTACAATTAGCCAATAAAATAAAATATTGACTAGAGTATTTTATAGAGATGTAACAAGGACATTGCAATAAACCAACATACGTAGCAAATGAGGGGTCGACATTAAGTTTTACCTCATTAATTTTAGAATCACCGTCACAGCAGTCTAAAAGTAGGTTGCCAGTAAGCACTCCAACTCCCATTGAATCAAGACTATCTTCTGGGGATGAAAACTTTCATGCTAAAAAAGCCAGATTGGATAAAATTACCAACAATTTGGTCAACAAGGTTTCACCAACTTCCAAGAGGTAAGCTGCCTGCATAGTGATCCATACAATCGTCATTTCATAGGAGTATCTAAGGCAGTGGTGTGCAATGTTTAATACAGAAGGGCCATATACGAATAACTGGGTGAAACCATGAGCAGCACATTCATTTAACATATAGGCTTTCTAATAGTTACATGAACCAAAAATCTGGTTGTTGATCTTATGACATGCTTTGTTCGCTTTGCATGAGCTAGCTGTTATGGCATTGTAACATTACAGGCATAGATGATAAATTGGACTCGGGTATAGGCTTTGCAACGCAAAGAGATTAGAATTACTCACCTGTACCAAATTAAACTAAAAGTAAATTTAATCTAAAATTAAAATTGGATTAAAAACTCGTTTCGTGGGTCGTAAACCATTCAAAATTGGCACCTTCTCTTGGGAGAATAGAATCGAAACATGGCTATTATAAATCTTTGACAATCCTGAAAAATGCCTAAACCTTCTCTATAGTTAAGTTCCTAATAAATTTCCTTTGAATGCTGCATATTTGAGACAATATAAAAATATTCTCATGCATTATTTCATCGCTTTATATTGTTGCTCCGTGTTACTATGTAAAATGGGTGTATCATACTATTTGCAATTGTTTCTCATAAAAATCACAAAATCTGGAAAAATATGGTAGTTTCATGAAGTTTTAACAAAATCACACTTCATGCTAACCAACCTTTTCATGAAACATATAGCCCCACTTAGTCTATTCCGATCTGTTTGAGAAATAAAGTGAAATGGAAACCTTTTCCTCATCATTGTATTAGTTTGATTTAAAACGAATTCTCATGTTTAGTGACAGCAGCACTGAGCAAAGAGATGCATCTCCAGATGATTCAGACTCCGACAGTCCACTTGTTATTGACGGTATAGTTCTTGTATTATTTTGCAATGTTTCATTTCTTGCAAAATAAGTGTGTATCCATGGTGCATATCCATTGACTTCATAAAAAATATTTTTCTGGAAATTGGTATTATTCAAAATTTTGATGTTTTTAATCTTATTTTCCACTGCCATCAAATAAATCTCTAAAAAAATACTCTTTTAATAAATTTGTTATATATTATCACTTGGAAAATTTTCACCAAGTGGGCCAATTTTTCACCAATTTTGTGGAAAACCTCATCATTTTTGTAATGATTTTTAAGAAACATATTAAATAGAATAAAATATGGCACATAAAAATTGTTTTAACTATCAATTGTGGAGTCTTATGGACTGACATGTTCACTAAAATACTAAAACCATCCATATATTTCACAGAGGAAATGGATTCCAAGTCTCAACTAGCTGCTAGGAAGAAAAGGAAGCCTGAAAATAAATCAGAGATACAGGGCGCCAGAGGTCCAGGCGCTAAGAAGCGAGGAAGACCAAAGGCACCTGTTCCAAGGCCTAGGATTGTAACTAAAATAACTAAAGGTATCGTACAATGTTATATGTGTAAGGCATCTTCTAGTCACAAAGTAGCAAGCACTTTGGAGTAAAATTTATCATATGAAAATTGAAAATATGCTTTCAAGAAATGTAATATTGATGTGTCAATTTTTATGTACGGTAAGTTAATAGCATAATTTTTTCAATCTTTTCAATTTTTTAGTTCATCAAGGGCAAGAAAGCAGTTTACATGTCTCACAATCCAGGTGAAAATCATGTTTTAGTTTTACCATTGTTTTTTGGTTTTGTGAAATAAATTTTGAAGAATTTCTTTCATCATTTTGTAATATCTCCTATTTATTTCAGATTTTGTCTTTGAATCACTATTAAGCCAAAGTCACTGAAACCTGTCAGTTTCAGCCTAATCCTCAATTATAAATCTATATCAAATAATCACTTATCAATCTAAATTGTTCATGCAAATTTTTATAGCATCATCTATGTGAGGTTCTTGGTGTTTCATCTTCTTATTTTTTTCTATTCATATGTTTTGAAATTTTTAGTGAGTCAATGGCAAAAGATAGTGCTGTCACACCCGGCATTGATGATAATAATTTCAAGTATGTACCGGTTGTTACAAAAAAAATAGTTTCAAATGTCTTTCGGTTATTTTTATATAGATCAACCTAATAACATAAAATTTTCTATTTCTTTTCATAATAACTGAAACTTTTATTTCTTTCATTTAATACTGTTTTGCCAAGCAAGACGTGAAGATTTGATCACCTTATATGATCAACAAGTCAACCATGGCTTCTGAACATGTTTCGAACTATGTTACCATATACATAACATCCCTTGTTTATCTCCACAATGGCTAATGGATAATCGTATCAGCCTGGCCTATGATGGCATGTTCGCGTCGATTTTTAAGGCTCTCGGATAAACTTGCATCATATTATATTTAAATAAACATCAGTATACAAAGTAGAATTTCATTTTTCCAGATTTGAAGAAAAGCGTCAGCAAGCAAGTGAAGCATTATTGCAACTTTCTCAAGCTACAACGTCAACTAGTTATACAACAGGTAATGAACATTATGTAGCTTATACTTCATTTTCGAAGTTGCCTTCATGCAAATGATTTAACTTAATGCCACGGTAACGACCATCCTACATTTTTTTTCGATTTCTGAATTTTACCGTAATTTGCTGTAGCTTTTCTATAATCAATAGTTATGAGGCTGGCCTAGGAGGGCATTACACTTGACTATGATGGCATCACAGGTTAAAATCTCGGGATCAAATCCCATGACCACCTCCGTACTCAGGGTGTGGTAAATTAGGTAAACCAGCGTTTCTCAAACTTTCTTTGCCACGGAACACCTGCGCTCTTAATCTCGCCTTGCGGAACTCCAAGAAAATTGGTAGACAAAATTGATATGAAAATTGTGTAATGGATTTACTCTGTGCATCAACTTGCACAACCGGCTTATCACGACAAAATTTAGCCTATGGTTAAATTAGAAAGCTTGCTGTAAACTTGACAATTAAAAAATTAGACCGACAGTCAACAATAATGAACGGTTGACGAAAACGTCAGGCTTTCCAGACTGGCATGAGTTCTGTCCACCTATTTACATAGCAAGGCCTGTTCGCCTGTTCGACGCCAGTTGAGAGACAAATTTACAACCCAGAGGTGCCGAAGTATGACCAAGATCGCCATGACGACCAATTTAGTCACAATTTTGATCCCTGTCTCGCGAAACACTCTGAAGAAGCTTTCGGTTTGAGTTTGAGAAGTGCTGGGATAGACAATGCCAAACCAGAGAGATTTGGGCGTTGGTGGTGCTTGTACAGAGACTTGTTTGAAGCAAAAGGCTATAAATAATTATGTCGTATAAAAATTGTGATTTGTATAAGGATACAAATAGTGAGTGAGAGAGTTTTTTGAAGTGTGAAATTAGAAAGAATAAATCAGATGTATATCAAAATAAATAAACCAAACATTCTAAAAAGTTGAGTATTTATAGTTGTGGAACTTTTCTTGCTTTCTTGAAACTCTATCTAATAATTCAAAAGTGCCTAAAAATCAGGATTTAATTTGCTAAAAACACTTTTTATTGTGTTATACATGTTTAGGAGCATCAACATCCACTGCGACATTGCCGTACCATTCTGTTGACGAGTCCAACGTTTTGGGGAAAAATTCGAACTTCCAGCATGCTGGGTTAGATTATGAGAATCTCAATGAAGACAATGATGTAGGTTTTCTTCCTTTTTTTGAAAAAATTCAAGTTGCTAGATTTAAAAACTCTTCCTTTTTTCATCCTAGCTAATTTCTGAATAGGATTATTTATTCGATGGGAAAATTATTCCATAAGGCAGTGGTGTTGCATATGGTAAACCATGCCTTGTAGGAGAATATTATAATACCGGTATATCATATGAGGTATGGGACTAAATTCTCTGTATAATCTACCAAATCCAGTATATAATTGTCTGTTTTTTCCTATTTTTATTCCAGTCTAATGAATCCAGAGAAGATCAATCGTATGAATCAAATGAAGTTTCTGCCACATCTCCTAATTATAAAACAGGTGACATTGTTCTTGCTAAATGGGCAGATTGCAGATCATACCTGGCATATATCGTTGAAAAAGAAGAAGACGGTGAGATATGTTATTTGCTATTTGACTTCTAAAAATAATTTCCTAATTGATTAAATCCTAGTTGCGTATTTTGAGATAAGAAATTAGTGCTGCGGAGTTGAGAAAAATTTATATCAGACTTAATATTTTAAGCTGAGTAGACAACAACTTCGACTCCTTTATAAGAATAATGTTGATAATTATTCTGGGTTGGAAAGATTTGATTTTAACTTTAATCTTTTCTCCCTAACTTTGAGAAAACCAAATTTGGACCACAAAAATTTTGCATATGCAGTCAATTTTTAAATTGCCAGAGTTCTTAGCCAGATTAATTTTTATAGCACTTCACTGATCAGTTTTTTCAGATTCCTGAAATTCATATCTTTGAAGAAATCATAACTTCCACTTCGGCTCTGATTTTCGAATCTGGGGAGTTTAAAAGTACAACTCCAACTCCAATATCAGTAAAATATGCTAAATTTTACAGCTCTGGAAAAAATGCAGTTTTTAGTATTGATCTTCGTTTTATTTTAAAAACTTTTATCTTTGAGTACTGCAGTATGAAAAATATTTGTTTGCATCATAACATAGACATTCCTAATGGTATGTTCGTATTATAACTATAATTTTGCTTTTTAGATTCTTACAAAATAAGGTATTATGATGGAATGGTGAAAATTGTCAAATCGTCTTTTATACATCCGTGGGTTGGTCCTCTGCCTGATGCATTAAAATCATTTAAACCAAAAGTTCCACAAGCACGAAAACATAAGCACAAATCGAGTAACATCAGACTTATCAAAAAGAAAGATAAAAATGGTAAAATAGAGAAAAGAGAAAAAATCGTGGAGAAAAAAAGAACGACTTCTCTCAGTAAAGCAGGTATGTGTATGTATGTGTACTCAGGATTGTCAGGATTGAGTAGTATTCCCAGGAATGTCCAAATCTAAAAAATATACTATTCAAAATACATTCTTTTATGTTTTTCTTACTGTGAGAATTCAGGTGTTTAGAATGATAATTTTTAAGATTAGTATTGTTTTTGAAACCCGAAATTGATGGTATCAAATGTATTCAATTGTGAATCTTTACGAATATATAATTTGTTTTGGACATTCCCAATTACTCAATACCAAAAAGTCAATCTTTATCTTATTTTACATTATTGATTAGCGAAGTATGCTCATACATTCCTGTTTTTGATTGTCATTTCTTATCTCCAGAAAATGCGCAATCTACAAGAACTAGAAGAAGAACTGAATCTGGTGGTGAGTAAGTTACTCAAACAGGGATAGCCAAAATTTAATAAATTAAGATACCATAAACTTACTGAGATAATATTTTTGAATATGGAACATCAAATGTATTCCAAATTGATTTTTGTCAATTTAAATTCACAAAAATGAATTTATGAACATAGAATTTCTATCGTGTCTCTGCTTTGACACATTCACAGAATAGTTTTTTTTCTTCATTTTTTATGTGGTCAAATGTTAAAAGAATTCATTTTTTTTCTGAACATGATAAGTCAATTATTGAGAATGATAAATTTTCTGATCAAAAAGATATTCTAAATTTTTCATAAAATCAAGAATTTACTCCATAAAATGAACAAATTTTGAATTATCAATATCTCTGAATATAAAAATATATCTGGAAGATCTCGGATAACTTATGATCCTTTTTGTTTCGTTCAGATGGTCCTACAGACACAATCAATTTTTCGGATGGGGAAAAGGTTTTAGCAAAGTGGACAGATTTTAAATGGTATCCTGCAACTGTTATCAAAAAAACTGATAAATGTGAGAAATCTAGAATAAAATCAGAATATCCTTGAATATATATTTGTACTTTTTAAAAAATTTAATCTAAGATTCCACCATGACGAAGACATGCCTCATGTGCAATAATATTAAGCGTTCAGGATTTTATCGGCCAATTTTAGTTTCGAATATTTTGAATTCTGTAATTAATGATAATTCTAAACCAATAAATCAGTATTTCTTAACAGAATTTTCTGAATGTACGTTGGTCCCAAGAACTTGAAATTGAATGAATATACAACAGAGTACACAATAAATTGAACACAAAGTATATTTTTCTTATTTCAGTACATTATGAAGTAAAATATCTCGATGACCTGACGCGGATTGTTCGTGACACATGGATAACCCCATGGAAACCTCCTGCAGCTACTACCTCTATATCCACAAAAATTGATGATAAATCATCCTTAACGGGTCAAAAATCAACCCAGGTGACTGAGATACCACCTGTCACAAAATCCAGCGAGTTGGTAAAATTGCCTCATTCTGGTAAAACTACTGACCCAAATGAAACAGCTAATTCACAAGGCATCGATTCCACTGAAAAGGAATCAAAAGGAATTGCTGCAACAGAGAAGAGAACTGAATTAAAAGAATCAGATAATGAAGAACAAGATACAAAAGAAACACCTGAGGTTTGTAGGATAGAGTTTGAAATAAATCTGTTGTAATGCTTCTTGAGAAACAAAACACGTCAATTTTGTAAGTAGATAAGTATAAGTTAATTTTGACTCCATAAGCAGCATAACAGATAATAATATAGTTGATAAAAACAAATAAATTTAATTTGAATATAGAATCAGGAGAGCAAAAAAACTCAATTAAGTTTTACAACGTACAGATCTAAAACACCTAGGAAGTCTTAAAGTATTTCTAGTGATTGATACTGATTTTTATGACGAAGTTACTAAATTAGATACATGATATTTGAAGAGTTTCAAATTTTCCAGTGTGGTTTTGCATACCTAAGTATATCTAAGACTGAGGTAGACAGAACCGGGTCTGAACCTAAAATTTTCAACCTGCAGTGATTATTCAAACAACTGAATATTTTTTGCTGATGTATTATTGATAGAAAACTACTATATTTCAATTTAAACCACCTAGGTTCACTTTTTATTTGTTGATTGGCCCTATCATTGTACACATTAAAACATATTGATCTTGCTAGATTTTCGGGCATAAGATTTCTTTCTTTCATAACATGCCTATGTATCACATGTATTATCAATTAACTATTTTTTCAATTTTCCCACCAAACACCATGACATACATGCTTGTTCATCAATTGAAGGTAAAAATTTCAAATTCCCACATTTTTATCATATCATGACCTAACGCAATTGCTTGCAGGAGGGAAGTATTACAGAATCTGGTGATGTTGTTGGTTTGGGGGAACAAGCAATAAAAACTTATGAAAAATTTGTTCCTGGTGACACTGTTTTAGCAAGATGGACAGACTGTCGAAGCTATCCAGCTACAATTATAAAAGTACTTGATAATGGAGGTGGGTTCGATCATTTGTTACATAATTTTAAACATAATCATTAATGTGTCATAAACTATTGCAAAATGCTTTATGCTACTGCTAATTCATAAATTTTGTGTCCGACTATTGGTTGCTTTAAATCTTTTCCATCTATGTGTGTACAGTGCCGCAATTTCCTTCACCAGATTGTAAGACTTGGTTCTGTTTTTGTCAATTCTTCAGGATGAAGAATAATGTTTATTGTAATACATATCAGTTTGCAAAATGATTGCAATCGTCAGAATTTAATCAAGCAGCCCCATTGTTTTCCATACTCGGTAATAATGTGTAACTGTGCTGCATATTTCAAGTTTTCCTATTTAATATTCAGGAAAATATGTTGTTGAGTATTACGATGGAATGCAGAAAGAACTTAAACCAACTATGCTTAAATCATGGAATCCAAGTGCTCTTCCTCCAACTACAAAACAAGTTTACCGTCGGCCCATGACGAAGATGTAAGTGACATTGCCCATTATATTTTATTGATCATTTTACTTCAAAATTTGTCTATAATTTGACTTTTTATTTTATTGTACTTGTGGTATGTTTTGTTTATTTTCTAATATTCTCATTTTGCAGTCGGCAAGATCCATCTAAGAAACAGCCTGCATTATCAATAAAGGTAACATAGTATGTCATTTTAAAATTTCGTTAACTTAAATATGGTTTTCTATGTAGAAACTGCATGAATTTTGTTGCACTTGACGACATAGCACATGTTAGTCAAAATAGTGTTGATTTATCGAATCATTGTGATCAAACTTTACTTACCTGATTTGTGATGCGAGAGAGCTGATTTGTATAGAGGCAGGGTTTAAAATCAGGATGACTCCAGCTTTGGCACCCGAGCTTCAATTTTCAACCTAAAAAGCTGGACTCCAGCTCGATAGCCTATGATGTCTTTTGTTATGACCACTACCATGAACAACAGTTCAGATGCAGTTCCACAAAAAGACAGGAATGAAAATTTTAAAAAATTAAAAAATTGAACTTTTGATTATACAAATGTCTAATTTGAACCTTACTAGATTAGAAACGAAATATTAAATTCTAAGAATAAAATGGATAGAATCTAATATTCTTACACTATTTGATTATTCTATTACAACATATTCTAAACAAAACCTGAATTTCAGACTACATTCCTACCTTGTTTAATAAACTTGCTTTGTCTCTTGTCTGAGTAGTTATTTTTGTATTTCTTGCAGGACAAAGTTGGTAGACTGACAACTGCTGCAAGGCAATCTCAACAAGGACCAAGACAAGTCGTCAGAGGTTATGATGCATATTATGCAAGACTTCCTGCACCTGCACATGATGTAGCAGAGACTAATCATCACAAATTTAAGGTGAAGTTGGTTGATTTCAATTATAGCCAAAAAATTGTTACAATTTTTGAAATTGATCAGCTTAACTTTGTCATCTGAAGAAAGCACTGTGTGGTATTTAATTTTTCTAGAAAAATGTTTACTTTGTGCATAGCATTACATAGTTTAGAGTGCAATTTACAGGAGGTTCTAATTTTTCTTCTGATGGTATTGAAAGAGTTGCCACAGACTCATTGTCACATAACCGAAACTCTTCTAGAGAATTGGCACCTGTATTTCCTGCCCTTTTTTCCAACTTTCCCATTGTTTGGCTGACTGTCTTTCAGTAATGTTTGCGTAGTAGTGTGGCGGAAATTTTAAAACATATTTGCATTGAATGTATTGCATTGTACAGCCTCCTCATTAATCCCATTTTAGTCGTAGTTTCATAGCCATTATTGCGATGTGATTCTTCACATTGAAATTATTGAACTATATTTCCAAATTGATGGTGAATATTCTTAAAGAGTAACACAAATGATTTTTATATTCCAGTGTCGAGTGCCAGGTTGTACAAAATCATTTCGTAAAGAAGATATGCTAAGAACTCATCATAAATATTATCATCAACAAAGATATAAACTGCGGGTTCAGGATTCTCAACCTGCTCCAATTAAAAGGAAATCATCAAAAGAAGACAATGGTATATTTAATATTTTGTAATTGTTTTGTTCCAAACTGTGTTTGGTTATCTTGCAATTTTTTTTGGCTATCCTATACCATATCAGTATATGTTGCTCCATATATCAATACCGGTAATTGATATGTTTCTCTAAATTTCTTCATGCTAAAAATCTAATATGCATACTATCACCCTTGTTGTTGGAAATATACCGTATGTAGGCGAATAGGCGATTTCAAGTTTGGGCCTTGCAGGATCTGGTATTGTCTTGCCTTGTACCCAATCCATTTTGTATAACAAAGGTTTGGTTGAAACTCATTTAAAATATTGAAATTGTAGTCTTTTCTTTGGAGACTAGCTACGTGTTTCTAGATAGGCCAGAACCAGTCTTAAGTTCTTGTCCAAGCCCAGTCTTGCTCAGTTTAGTATCCGTCCACTATCCATCCCCTTACCCAGGGTATATTGTGCATATTGAACTAAAAACACCTTTTTTCTTTTCAAAATTTGCAATATTCTCCTTACAGGTCCGAAGCCTTGTTATCTACAAATATTGTTGCCCATTATATATAGTAATCAAAGAAATAGACACGTCATATTACATCTTGTTGATGTCATTTCCAATTAACATATCAGAATAGAATCATTTTTGTGTCTTTTCTTCTTCCTTTCCTTTTCATGTATTTTTCCTTTTCAGTTGTAAGACGGCGAGTATCTGCTGATTATGAAATCGCTAAAGCTCAAGCTCGTGCTAACATTGCAGCAGCTCATGCTGATCAAAAGGATGCAAGTCAAACACCAACTTTACGAAGCAGAGGGGCAAAACCTCCTATCGATGTTTATAAACAGCAACATGGAAATGTATCATTGTCATCTGCATCCTCTATGCTGGATACCAGCAGCGGCCAAGATGATGGCAAGACTAATTACCGTGTTCCTTATGCATAATAGCAAATAGTCAAATAATTTCAGATACATTTTTAAAACAATTTTGCTCAAATCTCAATCATATATGCCTACTTACAATATAAGATGGTGTGCTGACCCACTGGGAAATTAGTAGTTATGATTTCTTGTTTTAAGTCCAGCGATTTGAGAGTGCAATAAAAATGGCTGACACAAAACTTGAATAGAGTCAAGTTAACTTGATTATGTAACCAGTGCAGAAATACAAAATTCTGCAAACCAACAATTTTGGATAAAATGGCAATAGAATGAAACTTATACCATAATTAAATAGAATTGTGGGACAAATTAATGTACTGTTTTTGCCAATATCATGCTTTTTGAAAATATTTTCAATTTTTTTTACAGCCAAACTAAAGGATGAGACTAAATCAATTGAATTGGAGGTTGACTCCGCCAGGTATATATACCATTGTTGCAACTAGAGACTAAATAAAGATGATAAGGCAGTTTTTGAGCACCATTAAAGTTCTTTTAGAGATATACCTTAATCTCAAATACTCTTACAAATTACAACTGCTTTTACTGCCAATGTTAATAAACCTCTCATTGTTATAAAATACATGGTTTAAACTACACAATATTCTGCCTCAGAAAAATTTCTAATTTGATTCTAGTTTCGTTTGATTTTCCTGAAATTTATGCCTTTTGTCAATTTTCCATTACCTTATATATGATACATCATTGGAATTTCTTTTTTAATTTCTTATTGTTGTAGCTCACTTGATCCTGTATTTAGAACTGTAAAGAGGAGAGGAAGTCGAAAAATTAGCGGCCGATCTGCATCTGGTGCAGATACTGAAGAAAAGAAAAATTCACCCCAAGTTGTTGCATCACAGGTGCTTATATTTTCCTTAGTTACTGAAAATTAGGCAGTTGTGAGGAAAGTCAGGGTGACCTTAACCTCCACCTAGGTATGTTTATCCTGGATACATATTCAAGGACCTATTTATGTTTTTGAAAAATGAAAATGAGAGTGTCTATGTTCATCTAAGCTTTGTCACTAACAAAATAATTATCGGAAAAAATATAGTCAAGTCGAGTTTTTTTTCCAAGTTTTTTTTTCTAACCACTAAAAAAAAACGCACTCAAATTACAAGAAAATTTTACAATTTTACAGTTTCATTGGGGAAGGGAAGCGATGGGAAACCCGTAACTAATTATCGTGCAGCGACACCCAAGGCAATAGCATCATTTGTGTCTTTATTATAAGTGCATTTTAGGTACTGTTACTAGGGCTGGGCATTTTGAATCGGATAGTATATTATTCGAATCCGTTCAGAGCAAAATTTCGAATCGCCGCCATCGTTTTTTTTTTTCTCCCAGTGGTCGAGGTAAATTTCTCAATTTTTTTTATTGAAGCCATATTATTTCAATGCATATCTGACATACGACTATTTTCTGTAGTAAGTTATTGATGAAAACATGTTTTTATTGTGTGCGAACATTACAATTTTTTTTTGAAATATGAAAATGCTCAGCCCTAACCGTAACTTCTTGATGCGTCCAACTTTAACATGAAGGCTTTTCTTACAATAGACTTACCGGTACATTTTATTCTACACAGCAATTTTGCTATTATGAACGCTTAATATTAGTGTTTTTTAATAAATCTCCAGTCTGATGGGATACAGGAACCAGTGAATGAACCTGGTGAACAAACTGAAAATGGAAGCAGTATCAATGAAGATGTCATCAGATGTACTTGTGATGTCGAAGAAGAAGAAGGTTTTATGATTCAATGTGAAGGCTGTTTTACATGGCAGCATGCTTCTTGTGTTGGTGTCAGTCAGCCCGATAAAAATAAACGACCAAATAAATCAAAACAAAGAAAAAACAGCAAAGCGAAAGATGATTACAGTCCAAAATCGAAACAGGTAAATCTGTTTTTTAGCTTTTTTCACAAAATCTAGTATGCTCAGATCAGTAAAACTGAGATCTGATAATAAAATTTTCTGGCTCACATCATGAAAAATATGACTTACCGGTCTGTGTTTACAAGATCATATTATTGATGTCTTGATCTTGAAAAACAAATAATTGATGGCAGTAAATTTAGTGTCACTGCGACTCTCCTTCCTTAGCCTAGTTTAATAGGTATTTCATATCACTATATCTTAGCTGTTTCCTTCATTGTATTGTGTTGAACTGTGTCACAGCCATTGTTATATAATTAGTCATGCTCTGTTGTATAAAATTCTTGTGTGATTTAAATTCAGTACAATATTAGCTTTGAGGAGCATGAACCCCTGACTGACTATGATAGTTCGAACAATGAAAGGCATTTTCTCTTTCAAGTTGATTTCTATTATAATCAAAAACATGTTTTGACAGCCAGAAAAAATCAGTCCTACAGCAGCTGATGCACCGCCATCAATTGATGATGGTTATATTTGCTGGGTGTGCAAGAATCCGCAAAATGTTCGAAAGTAAGTAGCTCATCAATCTCAATAGAATGTTATACAAGTTTAAAAGCGTTTGATACTGTTAATATATATATAATATTTGTTATGGACACTCGACAGTTGCACATTGTGTAAAGCGGTACGCTTGCCATTGCACTCCTCACTATCCTTCGCAGGATTCAGTGTGCGAGAATCGCTGGACTCTAAGCCATTGTGGGGTGCTTCATGTATGTATATAACCGCTGGTCAGATTCAACTCTTTTCACCATCAAGTTCTGGGCCTGGAAATGAATACCTTGTAAACTATTTCTATATCCGAATGGTAAATTGATAATATTTGGTTAGTCATATTAATGAGCTGTATTGTCATGTTATCTCTTCTTCGAGATAAATATTGAAATCCTACCGTATCAATTTTACGTAAATACATAAATTCAGATCCAAAAAGTATTCGTACAACAATGATTATCTCACTAAAGGCAAGTTGCCATCACTGTCTGAACTAAATGGAGAATCAGAAACTGTTTCACAATCACCCAGAAGAAATGTTGTCAATTCACTAATGTTGGTAAGAGATGACCTTTTTTCGAAACTATATTCACAGTGCGGTGGATGTATTTGCTATAAACAAGTATTTAGACTAGAAGCTGGTCGGACATGTGGAGCTACTTGAGTATGTCTTATAAATCTTTGATCAAAATATATATTTTCAGTCCATATCCACATTAGCACAATGCTTCTTATGTCAAGCCAAGTCATGTGCATGGATTATTGTTTCTGCATGTTCATTAGAGCCTATTGTTTTTACTGTATTGTCTGATGGTTGCATCAATATTAAGGCTTTCTACTTGATTGATTATATCTATGTCTGTTTTTATTTGAATGCAACAGCACTTGTAATATATATGAGCATTGTTAAATAAACAATTACGCCAGTTGTTCCACGTTAACTTCTTATTACTGTCATTCAATTTATTTCAAACAGTCATCACTCATGGATGAGGTAGTGAAAATGCAAGATGTATTAACCGGCATCAAACAAAAAATCAAGATAGCAACAATGTCAAATGAACATCCTTACTTGGATACATGGAAAGGTAATAGGATTACCAATCAGTAAAGTATCTTGACCTGTTGTTATCAGCGATCATCACAGATATGTCATTATCATTCATAGTATTTATTTTACGATACAGGTATATTTTTATATCATAGTACTTCTAAATCAAACATTAGTAAAAAGTAATCTGATATGATGTTCTACTTGAACATATGTTCAATTTTAGAATATGATATATATTCTGAACAAAAATACATGTATTCGAAAATATTTTCAAATTGCTGATTTGGAATAGGTGTTTTCCAGTTTGACCAATCTATGCTCCAGATATGTTGAAATTATTTTATTAATTATTATTTCAGAAACTGTCAAATCAGGCAAGATTCATCATTCCAGTTCTCAAAAAGTGAGTTGAATCAGTAACTTTTTAAAATTAATGCAATCTTGCCTTGCAGAAAATACATAGAACTGAATACATATAAAAGGCTCTTTGGGACATTCAATTTATTTGAATCAAATTTTTGCAAAACATTCGATTCAGAGCAATTAATGTGATACTAGGAAGTGATGGGTGAAAATTTATGATTGACCCCAAGTTGAAAAGGATCTAGCGGCGTGTATTCTTCGCTCTCGGGTTTAACATACGAGGGGGCCTAATAGGCCCAAACAAACAGACAACATACTTACTGATCGAGATCGATGAGTGCTAATGCTGGGTCTGAGTCGGAGTTGTAGAAATTCGACATGTGACCTCATATTCAATAAAATCAATTTTTACAATATATACTTTTCCATATGCAAACCTTTTTTATAAGATTGTTTATTTATATTAATGATTATTAGGTTTTTGTTGAAAATTTTGAATTTTAATTATCCTCATAGAAAATCGGAACTTCCTACTCCGGGGAATTCAGAATTTTGTATCGGACTAACGACTTGAAAATACGATTTCGACTCCAGTGAAAATATGCCAAACTCTGACCCCGATCCCACACCACTGATATGATACTATAACACTGCTTTTTTTAGAATAGACGAAATCCGATAATATATTCTCATTCGGAAATAACATATAATGAATCTCAGATACCAATTATAGCATTCTTTTTCAAAAGGGAACCTGTCCGAGACATTTTAATACTGTACCTCCATGATAATATTACTTTCTTTTCTTCTGCACATTGCTGTGTTTTTAACAAATCACACTTTTGTATATATGAGTTCAATTTTTTGTGCCCACAAGTAAATCCTAAAATTTCCAAGTTTTTTTTCCAATAAATCATTCTTTTTCTTATAATAGATAAGTGCTGAAAATTACAAGAAAGACCAAATATCAAAGACTGAAGATCGGGAAGCTTATATTCGCCAGTGTCGAGAGAATTTGCTTGATCATATCACTGATCTTGAATCTGAACTTGACAACAGAATTACCCTTCTGACTAATTTTGTTTCAAGTATGTCAGAGTTATCATTTCTGTATGGCCTAGTGTTTAAAGCGTTAGACTCAGCTGTGTTCGCATTGAAGTTTATACATCTCGGGTTCAAATCTCATGCCCACCAATGCCAAAACAGGAAGACTCCGGTATTTTGAAAAAGGGGGCTGCTTGGACAAGGCCTTGTTCGGAGAAAAGATCGTAAATAAACACATTGTAAAAAAATCCACCTTTCGTCATGGTCGACTTTAATAGCTTGAGCACTTCCTGCTGCAAGGGACTTAGTGTATGTGAAATATTGCATCTTGGTTTGGTTATATCACTATAATTCGTGTGTAAAACTCTCAATATACCCTCGTTCAAATCCTTGCCATACGTATTTCATTAATTAAGTCATAAAGAATTTAAGAAATGTAAGGTTGCTTCACCCTGTATTACTATCTATTTATCTGGCTAATTTGAAAATTTATATTTGCAGGCATTGACAATGATGATCGGGCTGAAGGCGAGCAAATAAAAGGAGTTGAAAATCTCCAGAAGGGCTTGACAGCAGTACAGAAACTTTTATCATATTGCTGATCGGAAAAATGTTATTTCATTCCATCAAATTGAATACCAAGAACAGGGGTGTGATAAAATATTACTCAAGGCACTAGAAAAAGTATGGATAAATGCTTCGCACTGTAAAGATGCTGATGATATCAAGATGGTCTTCTTTGTGTTCCGTGTTGTTTTCAGATTTTATTTGTATTGGACATACGCTCAAACACTTAGCCATAAGTTATGGACCAATTTTATGTCTAATATATCAACATGATATTCTGCCATTTAGTTTGTGTTTTATTGCTCTTTTTTTACTCAAGATTGCTTTTTTTGTTCTGTGTGATCTATTGTTAGGTGACAGATTTCAATGTACTTCTAGCGCTATGGATCTTAATATGTTGGTCAAGCAATCGTCCATTGATGTGTTCAAAATTGATGTGGTCCCTTTGTACTGATTATGAATGAAGATTTTTTTCTGCCTAATGTTCTTGTGATGTAAATCAGGAGCTGGGATCCTGTACTTTATTGGTGTATGGGAGAAATACTTTAGTATGTTCCTTAATTTGGCAGACATTTGCTTAGGCTTGTTTCGCATTTCATGTCTTTTGGTATGCTGGGGCGGACTTTCTATTGCACCATCAATGCGGGTGCTCTCATGAATTTTATAATTCTTGCGATTTTAATGTAATAAAGTTTTTTCATTCCTACAATATCTCCTTTTCTGTGGTAAGGTTGATGTTGTAGTATGTAACACTGCTCTGTGGGGAGTGATAGTTATTGGCATGCAGTATTGCTCGATGAGTGGGGCTGGGAATTTCAGGGAAAACACTTCAACCGTTAACCGGGTAAAATTAATCGGATAAAATTAACCGGTTAACCCCAGCGTAACGTTTGACGTAATAATTTATAATTTCAGCTCGTTACATCACAATGGTTATGAAGCAATTTCGCGTGATCTTATCCGGTATCGCTCAAAATTATTCACAAATCAACATAGTAAATGATTGCTCTTCTGCAAGAGATATGCAGCGTGGTTCGCACATGTGGAACTATTTTAGAAAACCCGATTCCGTTATCAAACGCCATTTATGTGACAAATTTCCAGCGTTCGATGTGCAAATTATACTTTGAGATATCATAAAGTAAAACGGCATCAACTGCGTGCTTGTTGGATGACATATCGTGAACAATATATTTTGACCGAAAACTGATTCTGAATTTATCATTGTAAATTTTCATAATCAACAATCTTGGTACTTCAATTATTTTTCACATTTATTGGGTCCTTACCCAATAGTTAGTGATATTCTTTTGAATTAAACGCCGCATGAGACAACATTGCGATGACGTAATCAGTTTTGAAGAAATGGTACAGTATAAAGATGATTTGTACCGGAGATGTCAGTTAACAATGAAAATTAATTGTAATAAAACTTCCATAGGCATATTCCGAAGCACAATACAAACGATAATGAATTGTATATAGTTTTTTTTTTCCATATTTATCCAAGTGAAGGGAAAAGCTAAGACGACCCAATCACATTGCCTCTCAGGTATGAACACAGCTAACTCATTCTAAGCTCACAGATACTGATGGTGGCTAAAGCCATAATCGATTACCAGTCGGATCAATAACAATACTGCAGCAAAGATTGTACATATCTCACATGTTAATCCCAGGATTCGAATCCATACGAAATAATGGGCATAGGTGATAAGTCCTAACACTTGGGACAATGACCCTTTCGAATTACAACAAATCGGGCTTCAACTCTCCAATAAACAATGATCATCAATTCACATGCTGTGAAAAGAACGATCACCACTCCTTTAATGACTGCAGGTCAATATGCAACCCAAGTTTCTAACCATACATTAAAATTAATTACCCAGAAGAAATATTATTACTGTTGACTGACCACTAATTGGCAATATTACAACGACAATATTTTACGGTGTGCCAAATAAAACTTCGTATCACGCCAAATCATTGAAGCTCCCTCATTTAATGATATATCGAATAAAAAAACTCGGATTCGCAATATTACATATTTATTTTTTATTTCTTGCCAAAAATGGAACACCAAGGCAAAAGAACAAAACTGTATGAAACTGAATTAAGTATTGTTTGCTATCCGTGTATTAGATTTCAATTGGATGTATTTGAAAGGTTTCATGCATGAACATTTTTCAAACAATTTCTGGGGTACTATCAGCTGTATTTCCAGGTAGTGCAGTTGGGGACAGGACAACTGCATCGAATAACTATTTTTTATAGTAGGAATCTATGCTCGGCCTTGAGGTAATTGAGTGTGTGCTTTTGTTATATTCATAGCCAATATCAAAAAGATTGGACAATTTTATTCAGTTATTTGATTAGTATATATATATTCATGCACTATATCAGTTGAATATTGGTGTTTGAGCGATACAAAAATTACAATTACAAAAATTTAACAATTTATTCAATCATTACCAACCAGTAATTTGATTTTTTTTTCACCTTCATAACAATCCAAAATATTTGACAAATTTATGTTGCAAAATTACTGATATATAAAAATAATCTCTTGTGTGAGACAATCAGCATACAAAATACCTAATTGATCATACATAACATATAAATGCGAATATGAAACATTTTTCAAATGGCAAATTAAGTTTACTGACAGTTCCAATAAGCCACACCAAAAATCGAAAACTGTCCCTCTGGCATAGATGTGATATTTCCTAGGATAAGTCCTGATCCTGATGATTCGCTTGGTGTCATGGCCAACTTTATCTACCCAGGCTGAAAACAAATAAAACTCCGAAAGAAACAAATGTTCAATACAAATTAATTTTTACATGAATTTCAGTCACCGTTATTTTCCATATTTTCAAAAAGTAAATTGGCAGCCAGGGTTTCATTTTTATCACACGCCATATAAAATTGTAGAGCGTCTTCTTCTGGAAATCCGAGCGCTTTTAACCTATCCACTGCCGCTTTATCTTCTGACGAAATCTGAATGTATTGGGTGCCTGGTGGAGGGCCAGTCCCCCCAGCTCCACCCCCTTCCGCAGGCTGCTCAGTGCTCCCTGCAGCCTGACCTTCTGTGCTATTGATGAGCTGAATAAAAGCAGCTTGATTACGACTAATCTGCTCCAATAATTGTGGATTTGAATTTCGCAATTCCTGCATAAAAATTTGCAGATATGAAGGATTTTCTCTCAAAGCTTGACACATTCTCTGAAACTCTGGTTGATTACGTAAGAATTCGAAAGGATCTTCAGAACTTGCTGGTGGGTTGGTTGCGGCAGGAGTTTCTTCGGAACCCGCAGCTGCAACTGCCGTTTCTCCACCCGCAGCAGGTTGTGGCGTCTGAAGATTTGAAGGAATTCCTGTTGTCAAATATTCTACAGCCCTGTCAGGATTATTGAAACTTGCCCGAAGAGCAGCTACCACATCATCTCTTGCAAATCCCATGCTGACAATGTTAGTGATATTCTGTTCATAGGCATCACCAGTTAAAAGGGCAGATGCGGCAGCTGATGCTATCTCAGATCCAGTTGCAGCAGCACTCGAAGTTGCGGGTGTGGTAGATGAACTTGTATCCATTTGTTCTGGAGGTTTTTCATCCTCTTTTGGTTTTGTATCTTCTGTTGTGCTAGGCTGCTCAGGAGTAGTTGTTGGGGCATCGGCCGCTTGTGTGGTAGTTGCGGACTGAGCTGGAGCGGAACATGTCGTTTGAGCTGGTTTGGGTTTAGAAACCATAGCAACAATGAAATTTTTTTCAACGATATTATATTCTGCCAAGGTTTTTTCATCATCTAACATTTTACCAGCATAAATTAACTTCTGTCCGTCGATAGGATACGCCTCCTTTCCTTTCTCATTTTCAATCTTCTCTTTCAAAGTTTTGACTGTTTGCTTCTCATCAATCTCAATGGTAAAAGTCTGCTGATGCAAAGTTTTTATTGTAACTATCATTTTTTTATATACTTTTCACTATTTAGGTCTGAAAAATAAAATAATTATCGAAAATAAAAAAAATATCATGCAATTTCAGAATTTAGTAAGTTCTCTTAACAAGCAGAAATTTTTCAGATCATCTCGTTAGCCAGTGATTCTCAAAGGGGCAATTGACAGAATCATATTAAACAATATGATTAAATATTTTATATATTGTATTTATTATAAATGTTTTATTGTTTTTAATTTTAAATTCTGTGTCCTATCGTTACGTAACAATAGAGGCAGACACTATTTGCTGCAGGGTATTTATTTGCTAAACTGAGTTTGTTGGTTAATTTTTTTAGTATTTCAAAGAAAAATCAGGCAGAGATGAGAAAGAAGAGTTAACATTGCCTTTATTCGTTAGGGTGACATGTTTTCAAACTTTCAAAAGCATAAAGTACACATTATGAAACAAAATTCACTTATATTTAAAGGAAGATATTTTTTTTCGTGTAAGTGCGTTGTGAGATTTGCCCTGATAATTTGGTGCCGCATGAACAAAAAATTTGGGAACTGTTGTTGTAGGTTATGTGTCTAACATACTTGGATTCAATTAAAACTGAACTGATGTACACAAAGATAGCATTTAACATATATTAAGAATACAATCACGTCATAGAGCTTGCCAAATATATGTACGATCGCCCGAAATGGCATCGGCGCCGACGATAAAGAACTGACTAACGTCATCGATCTTTCTCCTATTGGGATCGTTGCTACGAGAAAAATAGCTGTTCGATTTCGGGTGCTCGTCTACGCGTCTTGGATGTCAGTTCGTATAGTTTGAAGGGCTCTATAACGTGACTGTGACGCCGTAATGGCGTTATTTTTGGATGACATAGTCAGGCGGGGGTTAGGATTGACACATGAAAAAATTGTTATGCTACGCCTACTAGAAGTATGTTAGGTATAAAACTACATGAGACCCGAAATTGTGAAAACTAAAAACAATTCATATAAATAAGAAATTGCTAATTCAAAACATAAATATAAGATATTTCAAGTCAGCAAGTGGTCTATATCAAGATGTCTTGAATTCGTTCAAATAAGTTAAGAAGCGCTATAAATATATATAATCTGACAGTGGTTCTCAACCTTTTATGGCTCGTGGCCCCCTGTTTATCATTTCAGAGGTAGTCATAGTGTTGTTTTGATTGGTATTTGCAAATCCCATTATGTTCAAATAATCCATGCATAAGAACAAGCGGAAACACCTCGTAAAACACCCTTATCAAGCAATAAACTACTAAAAACAAAAAGTTTTCTTTTATTAAAGTGAAAAATAAAATCAGTTTTGCGCCTAGCATTGTGGTCCCCCTCCAACTGCTCTGTGGGAACCGCTGTGATAGGAGCTAAAGCATGCAGTAAATAAAAATTGGATATAATACCGGTACAGTAATATAAGTTACTTATCACTAATACATAATTTTATCCTAATGCTGTCAAAGCCTTAAAGTGCTGGCTCTGCAAAATAATGGCATACGGTGATCTTCTGCCACTGACCAAACCACCAGCTGAAGAGCAGTGAACTATTTATTACAGTACGGTATTCAGGCTTTACAGTATTCTCACATGCTATTATGCGTACCCGTACCGGTACTGGTTTGTCTGTTTGTGTATAAATAAAAACTGGATTTACATTGAACTAGAGTCTAGACATTGAATCGCAGACAGATGTTACATTCCTCTAGTCTATTTTTATCTTAGTATTTTCTGTTTAGTGTAAGAGAGGAGATTTATTAGCACAAAAACAAAGTCAACGCTGCCGTATTACTTATAACTTTTCAGACTTATTCATAATTAGAAATAGCGTTAAACGCAATTTTTTTTTTCTCCTTTACAGTCAGCAAAATATGCTAATACGTGTCCAACTACAGAATTATTTTTTGTTTTATTTTGTTTAAACACAATTTCAGTCCTTTCAACAAACGCGATACACCTGACGTTTATAACTCATTACTCCGCAGATTCACATTTCGAGTGCAACAGCGCCCCAACGCATTGGAAATGGCACATGATATCACGGTCATGATTTATGCATTTTCACGTTAGTGGACATAACGATCGTTTTGCCTTAGTATGTTTATCTTATTGGACACTTTAGTGGACATAACGATCGTTTTGCATTTTATGCTGGCATTCTTCTTAATGTTATCTTTCTTCGTCACCATCATTATAAAATCGCTTTTCTCTTCGAATACTGGACTAATTGCTTTGAAATTTTCAGTGGTTAAAGTTTGATTTTTTCTCCAGAAATCCATTACTTTTATTTATTTCAAATATTTTTGTTAGCTCTGTGAGATTTGTTTTTGTTTGCTATGACGTCACCGAACCTTCTGCGGAAGCATGATCACTTGCCATCGAACGTCGGCGTGAAGGTGGATTCTGAAAATCGTTGCTCAAAAATGGTAAGTTTTTTTAGGTTACCGGTGATGCTAAAGGTACAGTAAACCCAAAGTGACTATAAACCAAGTGGGGGACATGCATTGGTAACGTTATAAGCGCTCGTGTGACGTCACACCAGCTATTTTGTGTCCAGAGTTCTACCGCCGTATGATCCCAACTAAGTGATTTAAACCTGCGATCGTTAAACAGCTGATTAAAAAAAAAACGATGCTCAATAATTCGGACCAAACTTTCGCAGGGGCAAAACGAATGAACATTTTTCTGAAAAATTAATTATCCGCAGATGTTTCTCGGATAACTCGGCTCGGCGGTATGGTCAGCATATACGAAGTGAAAGTTAAAGGTATCCAACTTCACTCGATAAATCAACTACACAAATAAGACCAAAATATTTAACCAAAAGATACACATTTTATTATTAATTTATTATAAAATTCCTGATGTAAGTATCGCTACTTGCGCAAAACCTATTTTAACAAACTGACAGAACTACAATACAAATTATACTACAGAAATTTGCACTATTTTTGCGGTCGGCTATGTCATGATATTAAAATATGCGTATCGCAAATTTTCAACAAAGTGTACATTGCTAAAATAATATTAAAAAAATATACTACATGCATGGAATGAAGGATAACGGAGTATATCAAGAACATCTAATAATCTGCAGTGTATAAAATAAGATATCATCTATTTGACTTGAGCTTTTGCCGCAGGTCTACTAGCTTACCGTTTTTCAATAATTTTTTTTGTCTCCTTTTTTGCGTGAATATTTAACTTTAAATTGAGAAAATGTTTCAAAATTTTGAAAGCGATATTGTGGCAAGATAGGAAATTATATTTCAAGCAACTTTATCTGTCAGAAAAGTAACAGGCGAACATATATTATGAAAGGCATTAATATTTGCGCGAAATATAGTTTATACTTCGCGCAAAAATACGATTGCGTTTTTGGATGGGTGGCATAAATATTGTGTGAAACTATCAATTTTCAAATATTTATCAGGTGTGTAAGACCTAAAAAAAGTTAGTAGCGATTGTGGGCATTCATAAGGATTGACACTTTCCATAGAAACAAACAATTTGAACCCCGTGTCTTTTTAGGGTTCCCCCGGAAACATCAAGGCCAATTTTTCACTGTTGGATATCGATAAAATTACAATTAAGTTTTATCAACGAGAACGTAGAAGACATGATGATGTCGCTAGATCACCTAGTAAATATTTTACATTTTCCGACGCAAAAGCATCGAAATATCCTGCCAATAATAAGTTGATGAGAGCTGCAACACCAATCACGGCGGCTGGTTTTTAAATTTTGTACCTTATAATGTATATGCTTCGATGAAATTCATTAGGCCGCACAATGTGCTAGCCATGAGATCGTTTACATCAGGGTAGTCCAAACCCAGGCCCGCGGGCCACATGTGCCGCTTCATTATCTGTTGCCCGCGTCACATTCGGAGAGTAATCGAAAAATCGCATTTGGTGTTGTTTTGTCATAAAATTAATCAGAAAAACCTTTTAACACATTTTCATCACTAATGTCACTGAATTAAATAGCGTTATGACCAGCTGGGGAAACTAGCGAAGTTTAGTGATGTGCTTGGCAGTCTAAATTGTTATCTGGCTTTCTAACTTTTTGGTCGGGAATATATGCTAACAATATAGGCATCATAGAAAACTAAAAATCGAATGCGGATTCAATTAGCCTAGATTGGCTATGTCTGATAACTATGTGTTTGCACAATAAAATTGTTTGTTTTGTATTGCCCTGTTTACCTATTCTTGGCACTATTGTGGCCCGCGGAGCCGACAACCTTGACCACCCTGGTTTACATTCTATAATTTTTGGAGCAACTGTTGCAACAGCTCGTTAAATTAAGAAACATTTTCCGAGAAAATTCATTCCATCTGGAATGATGGTAAAAGTCTGCTGATGCAAAGTTTTTATTGTAACTATCATTTTTTTATATACTTTTCACTATTTAGGTCTGAAAAATAAAATAATTTTTGGCTTCTGGAATGATTAATGTAAAACGCAGGCTTTAAACTTTCGGCATGGTGTGAACAGGTATCATAATACCAGTTCAAATTGTACCTGATTTGAACGTATGCATTAGGTTAATGACGTTTCCCACTTGCGAAGGAAAGCGATATGTGTTTTTCATACGGATCGTTGCTACGTAATTGCGTAACAAGAATTAGGGAACGTTGTTGTTTAACTCAAGTTGGCGCAGTGGACAGTGTCAAGAATTGGAGAACATTGAATGAAATACCTTATACAATTTTACTGGTGCACGACAAATTATATCTAATGTCGAAAGCTATTCATAACCTATGTAAATGTGTCGATGTCATATTAGGTTAAAACAAGCAAATCGAAGTTTTTGTTATTCAATTCGAAAGCTTTTTAAAAAAATTTCACGCTTTTCAATTTTGCCGATTTTTGTATGATAATCGCGACATTTTATCTCCATGTCATAATTATAAATATTCTCCTAGATTGTCTTTCAAACAATATAAAATTTAACTGCATATAATATAAGGTTCGTGAGATAGGAGGTTTCAAAGTTGCATAATTCACACGGGATGATAAGATAACTATCGCAACTT